TATTCTATAAGGGTTCCGTTTATTATTCGGACGTACAGAAACCTAAAACGGAATAGATACAATAGTAGTAATATGCCTCTTTTGAGGAATGAAGAGTAGTACATTGTACAGAGATCATCCCGTATAAATGTATTATGTATCTGAACCTACACTTTGGTGAATCATTTAAACCATCCTTCGTATATGTACAACACTTCAGCGTACATACAGTTGATTTATGACCGCCTCCAAAAATTGCCGGCATTTCAGGTTAAGTTAAAAGAATGACCCTACTTTATTGGGATCCGTCAAATGGGAGGAGCCTAAAAACATGGCGCCGATTAGGGAAAATTTATCGTAGTTCCTATAGTGTACCGTGCAATTTCCAAGTTTTTAAATTACGATAAAATGATAAGTATTGACACAATATGTGATTGGGCTGACACAAAGCCTCGGAAAGGAAATTTCGTTGAAGGTGAGCGTGTTTTTAATGCCAATCACATTATAAAATTCGGAAATAACAAATCCGGAAGCTAGCCTTCAAATTCCGTCAAGTTTACTGCCTACTTTTTACAAACTTCGGATTTAAAAAGTGATTCACGTTATATAATTGGTGAGGTGATTCTGGGTGATTTAAGCAATATCATATCAATGACTTGCACGTGCAAAGCCGATTTAAGAGAACGTTGCAAACACATTATTGCAACTTTGTTGTATTGCAGCAGGTAGGTTCTTAACCTCAAAATACTTATATCGTATCATTAGAATTGTGTTAAATCAATTACACAGGAATAAATAATTTCTCACTTTATAATTTTAGTATGATTCTAGTTTTAAATATTAAGGTTATGGCTGATGGTAAATACTTGCTGAAATATAATCATGTGCATTAAAATGACGTGAACAAATTTTTATTCCGGAATTCACTTCTTTGATACCTACTGCTTTCATCCAAGCTTCTATTAGTTTACTTTTTTCTCTAATTTTCCGAATATATTTTTTACATATATAAAACGGTTAGTTTTTATTGGAAAGTAGTTAATGTAGGTGAAGAGTGAAGATCTATGTCTGAAGTGCTATTGCAGCTTTTCACTGAACATATTAACTTTTTATTTGATTTAACTTTAGAAGAAAACTTCGTCGACTCCATCATCAAAAAAATTTTTACTTTTTTAACGTGTTTTATTATTTTAATAAACAATTTTACAATTTGCGTGCACAGTTCCTATGTAAATTTTTCCCTCATTCGAGTTATAAATTTTGCCACCAGATGGTGTACGCCCATTTGACGGATCCCAATAGAATATCTTTATATGTACTGCGATAAATTAGCGTTTGATTCACTTGTCATCAAAGCAGCTAACTTCATATAAGTAGGTACATTATTTCCTCATCGTGTGGGCTGATAAAGTGCCTACTGTAGGAGCCGGTATCATGTAAAACTTGCTCGTCCATATGCGTCCAGATGTATAGCAAATGTAGATTACAGAACTCGATAAGACGTATTATTACGCGATGGAAGCTGTTACCTATTAGTTTCGATTTTAATAATATGCACTTGCGGCCGCTTGAAAGTCGATGCGCGAGGAAGGAAAAGCTGATCAAAGAAGTTCCTAGATACACGTGTACTGACCGTGCTCTTTAACATAACTGATATTGAGTTTATATCTATCGTGCATGTTTACTGGCCGCTGATCGTCACTGGATGCAGAATGAGAATCGGACGCAAACGATTCTATGAAATTATGTAGCGGAGAAAATTATACCATTTGAGGATAATAACATTCATCTATAAAATGTTTCCAATCGATTTATGCTTAGATAAAATCATTTGGCAAAACAGAAAATCAATAGTCTTAATAGTAGTTTAAGAATAGCGATGCAACGGAAGTGCCATAACGGAAACAGAAGCGGAAGCAGAAGTGTATGGTAAATTTTTGCGGAAGCGGAAGTAATGATTCTAGGTAACTCTTTAATGCATTGGTCGTGCGTAGGGTTGCCATCCGTACTTATTATAAAGTATTGTACTCTATTTCGACTGTGCCTACGTTATACTTTACGAGACACATAAAGTACGCAAAAGTACTTTATTTAAGGCCTTAAGTAAACATCGTAATTTTGTAAGCGATTATTCGAAATTCAGAGTATTTTTACATCAATAATATTACAAAGAAAAAATAGCAAGCTATATTTACGGAACAACCTGATTTCCCAAATCTGTTCAAAGTAGTGTCACTTTTGCTGTCCGTTCCGACCACTTCAGCATTTACAGAAAAAGTATTCTCTGTTATGAACGCAAAGTGGCGGAACGACACGAATAAAGCTTCATTAAAACTAATTAAAAATGAACTTTTACTTTACTTAAATCTTTGTTTGCCATATTTAGAGGCTCTTAATGTATTTAAGAGCGACAGTAATTTGTTACATGGCGCCGATTAGGGAAAATTTATCGTAGTTCCTATAGTGTACCGTGCAATTTCCAAGTTGTTAAATTACGATAAAAGTATTGACACAATATGTGATTGGACTGAAAAATATGTTTTTAAAAACAAAAAATAAAATACTTTATTTTTATGCCTAGTACTTTTTTTTGTTGAACCTTTTAGTCGAGAAATACTTTATGTAAAGCCTGAAAAGGTGGCAACCCTAGTCGTGCGACTTTCTTGCGAATATTTTGTTACAAATTTTGCATGCACGTTTGTCCATAGTCCAATGTATAAAGGTGTTCCTGAATTCAATTAGAAATTTTTTGATTACATGACTTATTTTCCCACCAAGGGCGTCAAAATCGGTCAATATTGATTTGGCTAATTTAACTAATTATTGACCGATTTAAATATTCAAACAGGCTACTTTATTTAATAAACTTATCGGAAGGTACATCGAATACTATTTACTTTAGTAAATACAGCATTGGCAAACAATTTATGCCAAACGTTACTAAAGTGTGCCTCAGGGCTCACGTCTCGGGCCGTTATTATTTGCAAGTTTTATTAATGACATCCTTGATTGCTTTTAACACAACGGATCTGTTGTAATATCAATGAATGACGTGTCTTATGGTTTGGATATGCCAACTTTCTTCTGCACAAATGAAGACAACCTAAAAATTTTTACAACCCTAGGCTACATACAACAGACATTGTAAAATGATTTCTAAAAGTATTTAAGATATGAATTTAAAATTACTGATTTCTACATCCAATTAATACAGTTTGTAACTCAAACTGATGAGAAGCTGAAGGTACAAAGAATTATCCTATAATGGTTCTTCTTCTCCTATTAGATGGAAATAAAGAAATAAAGCTTTTGGATGTTTCATTCCCACCAGCTAGTAATGTTGGTGGGCGGGCAGTCCCTCCGGACTACGCCAGGAGGTAGGGTGGAAGGCCCTCTTCAGCCTCCTTTCAGGAATTGTGGGAATGGGTGGGTGGTTGTTCGGGTGAGAAAGATGAAACGGACGAAATGAAGACAGAAGGGAATGAAAGATTATCTGTGGAATATGACTACCTCCGCATTTGCCTAAATAATCCAAGGAAACCACAGAAAAACTGGAAGAGGGCAGATGAACCCGGAATCGAACTGGCGTCCACCCGAACGCTAAGCAATGATCTATACCTTTAGGCCATGTCGCTCGGTGAAATAATGAAACGAGAGCAGGGGTTTAATATTTGAGTCAACCCCCACCAGGGGGTGTAATATCTCGGTGAAAAGCCCAAGACTTTGGTTAGAGTTCTGGTTGTCAGAAACTACTGGTCTTAAGGTTGTGTTACGCCGTTCTCCACAGACAATATATGGGAGAAGGTCATAACTGATGCTGTTTGGTTTGGTTGTAGGTTAGGTGTTTTGACATAGTCATAGTCTTTAAAAATATCAGTTAAACCTTTCTCACAACTTTGAGCCAGGGGTTCCCGGGCAACTCTGATCCTCACAAAAGTGTTTCCCTGCTCGGGGAATCACATGATTTGGTTGTAGGTTAGGTATTTTGACATAGTCATAGTCTTTAAAAATATCAGTTAAACCTTTCTCACAACTTTGAGCCAGGGGTTTCCGGACAACCCTGATCCTCGTCAAAGGGGGATCACACCTGCTGATGAGCGTGGGCGCAAATACAAAACTACAGCCTAAACGAGGCTATTATATACAAACAACGAGTATTATTTACTATAGAAATGTAGGCTGACATTGCTGCGCTGTCACTCTATGTTAGAGCCGGACAAACTCGGCTCTTTTGACTCCCGAGTGCTCCTCAGGTATAGCCGAGGAGCACCTCATTGCTCCTGCTAGTGAGATGATTCTTTCCTTTTCTTAACTCTTCCATTTCGTAAGCCCCCTCTTCCGTAGCTAAACCCAATAGTATTTCTACCCTAGTCCAACACGCTACCCCTGAGCTGCGGGATGATTATTAGAAAATTTTCGTAGGTACTATTTAGGCTGCGAAAGGGGCTTCGCTTGCCTATGGAATGGAGGGGCTTGTTACGGGAGTAAAAGGGCGAAAAAAAAAAAGATAGCAATATGGGTCATTATTGCTTACTCTTTCGTACTCATTAAAGGGTATGGAGTGACCTAAACTAACCTCAGTTAGCGGCTTCTACGAAGTCAAATTTATATTTTGGATGATAAACTTTTTGGCATCAGTAAGATAAACGGCTCGTTAACTTGGGTACTTTTTGTGTATAATTTTTTACATCCCCTACGTTGTGATGTTATCACAATATGCACGCTACAGTGCCTCCAGATGTTACCCTTTCAATCTTCCAGAATACTTCATGAGACATGAAGTATAAAATCGATTTGTTGTACATTTCCAAATGCATATAAAACTTTCAAGAAATAAATACAGACCGCCAGCCGAATAAAGAGAAAATAATTTCAAGCGATTTTTATATATTCTGACCAGCACGGTGAAAGAGTATTCAATTATGTTCTTAAGATTAAAATAAATCGTTTTAGATATATTTAAACAAATGCTTTCACTTAAGTTGACGTGTGTACGTAATTGTTTTTTTTTTTACTTTCAGGTTCCAGCATGGTCTGGATTGCGGCACTTTGCAGTGTACTGCTTTATTCGGACCTTCTGGCCACGACGCATTCACAACGAAATCGAGGTAAATAATTAAAAATAATGCGTTTATAATGGTATAAGAGCATTTACATAAATTATCCGGCTAATTTTAAATAATGAGCTTAAGATAGCAAACGAGCCTACTCGTTTTATAAAGAGCGGATTATAAAAACGAGTGGCATTTTTTAAAGCGTTCGCTCTCGCAGGATAATCGCTGTAGAAAGTTCGTAATCATCACCTCCAAAAACTCGTTCATATAATACGAAATATAGTTCGAGATGCTAAAGATCTTGTAAAACTAAATTGGCACCTAGGTCCTTCATCAATTGTTATTTTGGTAAATGGCAACCTCTTCTTTCTTTTACCTTCCTTATATTTTAGATTAAACGTTTTCAATAATAATACGGAAATTGCTGCTTGATTTTTAACATGAACATCATCATCATCATCATAAGGTCGTCAGTCCTAAGACTGGTTGGACACGCACCTCTACTCTTTCCCATCCTGAGCTCCCTTTTATTTTATAACAGGTCAATTGAAAAGTCCCCGGCCTAAAATAGTAAAACACATTTTTTTGCAAAATTCGTTTTTTTTTTTTGTTCAACATAATTCCCTTCAAGGGTGATACACTGATTATAGCGATCCTCCAACTTTTCGATACCATTTTTGTAGTACGATTTGTCCTTTGCTTCAAAATAGGCCTCAGTTTCGGCGATCACCTCTTCATTCGACGAAAATTTTTTCCCAACGAGCATTCTTTTGAGATCTGAGAACAGGAAGTAGTCGCTGGGGGCCAGATCTGGAGAATACGGTGGATGCGGAAGCAATTCGAAGCCCAATTCATGAATTTTTGCCATCGTTTTCACTGACTTGTGAGACGGTGCATTGTCTTGGTGAAGCAGGACTTTCTTTTTCTGCAAATGCGGTCGTTTCTCGGCGATTTCGTCCTTCAAACGGTCCAATAACGCTATGTAATAGTCGCTGTTGATGGTCCTTCCTTTTTCAAGGTAGTCAATGAAAATTATTCCACGCGCATCCCAAAATACAGACGCCATAACCTTGCCAGCCGACTGTTGCGTTTTTGCACGCTTTGGAGCGGGTTCATCGTGTGCAGTCCACTCCGATGACTGTCGATTGGACTTCGGAGTGAAATGATGGAGCCATGTTTCATCCATTGTCACATATCGACGCAAAAACTCGGGTTTATTACGCGTGATCATCTTCAAACACTGCTCTGAATCATCAACTCGTCGTTGTTTTTGGTCAAAAGTGAGCTCGCGCGGCACCCACTTTGCACAGAGCTTTCTCATACCCAAATATTCGTGAATGATGTGATGTATACGTTCCGTTGATATCTGTAGAGTGTCTGCTATTTCATTCAATTTCAATTTACGGTCATTCAAAATCATTTTGTGGATTTTTTTAATGTTTTCGTCCGTAACAGCCTCTTTTGGGCGTCCACTGCGTTCACCGTCTTCGGTGCTCATTTCACCACGTCTAAACTTAGCATACCAATCCTTGATGGTTGATTTTCCTGGGGCAGTGTCCGGAAATTCGTTATCAAGCCAAGTTTTTGCTTCAACTGTATTTTTTCCCTTCAAAAAGCAATATTTTATCAACACGCGAAATTCCTTTTTATCCATTTTTTTCACAATAACAAAAGTTGCTTCACTAAAAATGCTATAATTCACAAACTAATGATCCGACAGCCGTCAAATTTATAGACGCGTCTTTTGAAGGTTTGGACTAACTGAAAATCATATGGATTTAGTTCTGGTGCCGCCATCTATGTGTCAGGCCGGGGACTTTTCAATTGACCCTAGTACCTCTACTGCTCCATCTATCCTGCATTATCTGATTTCCTAGATACTGAAAATCAGCCACTTCTTATTTTTCGTCTCCTATCTTTATACTCACTCTTTAACATTTCAAATTAAATGGCAAATAATTAGAAGAAGGAAATTTTAATGATGTAAATAATAAATTAACATTATTAGGCCATTTTGTTTTCGAAGCAAATGAATTATTGGGTGTGTTCCGAAATATAACCCGGTATACTGGCCAGTGCTGATGACGTCGTGAATCGACGTCATACTGTTGATTCGTTCCGAAATATACTGACCAGTGCGTTGACGTCTAATTGACGCCATATTGAGAATAGTGTTTGTGCTCGTTTACAACAATTTTGCTTCAAAAAGTTATTAACGTTTATTACAATAAAAAATGTCCAAACTCTGAAGCACACACGCCCGTTCGATATACTGTTACGACACACTTGTTTCACCAGTACAACTTGGTGGCACACCAGTACAATATGGCGTCTATTCATGACGTCATCAGCACTGACTAGTATGCTGGGTTATATTTCGGAACACACTCATTATATTCCTTCAGTCAATGCCATCAATTGTTTCAAAACAACACAATTGATTTTCAAATAGTGACCTATACGTTTCAGACATTTTGATCGTGTACCTATTTTGTTAAAATCACAGGCTAGGAATACAGGGGCGGACCATACGTTGTTATTATAGACTAGGGAAGTTAAATTTCTCAAAAGAGAATTCGAAGAGTTAAGTAGTGTTGCCTAGATGTTATTGGAAGCCTTTGCATAAACTGATAATAATCAGCAAGATGTTGAATTTCACCGTAATCGACGACTAACCAATAGGAGATAATATAGAAACAACTACCTTTCCATTAATTATTAATTAATTAATCACCCCTATTTATCTACGTTTATGGTCCAAACTAAATAATGATATCTGGTACTAAATTTGCCTGAATGATTGTTGACGAGCTAGATTTGGAAAAATCGACTGTGCCCACTCGGTATTTTTAACATCCCTCTCTTACACCACAATCTCAAAAATACTTTTACCTTTTTCTTTTCCACAGTGCCTACCGTCTATGCTTCACACCCATAACACAGAGACGTACTCCAAACATACAAATAACATAAAGAGACACCCGATATCAAACTTACTAAAAAATTAGAACTAACACTTTCTTATGACTATTTAGAAATTATTTTTGAGGTAGACTTCAATGAGAACTTTACTTTTACCGGTAGGAAGATTGCGTGTCTGACACGATGTTGATTTTAATTATTTTTACTTTTTCGTTCAATGATTTATCTTTTATGTATGCTCTTATTAAATTCACAAAATACACTTAAGTATAAAATAATGAGACAAATCCGTAAGTGCGGTTAGTGTACAGGCAGTTATTATTCTTCTTTTGCGAGTTGTTATTCTCGTTAAAATGGAGTCGGTATCAGTATTATGATCCGAATAAGGACCGAACCGGCGATCAGAAAGTCGAAAACATAAATTGCAGTGTTGTAAAGATTTCTTGTTTAAGGAATAAAAGAATTAAATTGCCTTTTACTGATTAGACGCTGTTCCAATTCTCTAAAGGATACTATAAGAACAGTTTTCTCTGTTCTCTTTTTTATATATGTATATGGAATGCCTTGACAGCTTTGGTTTTACAAATGAAAATACGATACCCCATTAACACATTTTCATCATAAAAATTAATAAAAGGTTATTATTTATTTTGTATGTCTGGAGTACGTCTCTGCGTTATGGGTGTGTAGCATGGACGGTAGGCACTGTGGAAAAGAAAAATTTAGAAAGGTTTTTAAGGGGTGGTGTAAGAGAGGCATGTTAAAAATACCGAGGACAGAAAAAAGAGTAAGAGGACAGAGGGCGTCAAATTTATGATGAACTACTTCATTAATACCAAAAACATAACATTGGATTTTGGGTTGAACTTTTCCTCGTTCTTGGTCCATCCACTTCAATCCATTCTTTACTTTATTCATCAAGAATGATCCCACATTCAAGAAAACCAAAAAATTTTTATAGAATATGGGATCAAAGTCGATGCAGCGTTTGATTAGCTCTTAAACATTGGGAGTATTTTACAACAGTTTTCCTAATGCCAAATGTTTAGATAGAATCGTGTGGAGAGTCGATTTTTCTGAATCTAGCTCATCAACGATCATCCAGGCAGTGGATCTGCGATCGGAAGGCTCAATGCGTTCATCAGCCCAGGAAGTCGAGAGTCATCCTAGGGCTGCGTGTTCAGTCTTGTTCATGACCTTTGCTGAAACGCAGTAATCCGAGCAGTAAGTCGGCTATTGGGATCCGTCAAATGGGAGGAGCCTATAAACATGGCGCCGATTAGGGAAAATTTATCGTAGTTTCTATAGTGTACCGTGCAGTTTCCATATTTTAAATTACGATAAAATGATAAGTATTGACACAATATGTGATTGGGCTGACACAAAGCCTCGGAAAGGAAATTTCGTTGAAGGTGAGCGTGTTTTTAATGCCAATCACATTATAAAATTCGGAAATAACAAATCCGGAAGCTAGCCTTCAAATTCCGTCAAGTTTACTGCCTACTTTTTACAAACTTCGGATTTAAAAAGTGATTCACGTTATATAATTGGTGAGGTGATTCTGGGTGATTTAAGCAATATCATATCAATGACTTGCACGTGCAAAGCCGATTTAAGAGAACGTTGCAAACACATTATTGCAACTTTGTTGTATTGCAGCAGGTAGGTTCTTAACCTCAAAATACTTATATCGTATCATTAGAATTGTGTTAAATCAATTACACAGGAATAAATAATTTCTCACTTTATAATTTTAGTATGATTCTAGTTTTAAATATTAAGGTTATGGCTGATGGTAAATACTTGCTGAAATATAATCATGTGCATTAAAATGACGTGAACAAATTTTTATTCCGGAATTCACTTCTTTGATACCTACTGCTTTCATCCAAGCTTCTATTAGTTTACTTTTTTCTCTAATTTTCCGAATATATTTTTTACATATATAAAACGGTTAGTTTTTATTGGAAAGTAGTTAATGTAGGTGAAGAGTGAAGATCTATGTCTGAAGTGCTATTGCAGCTTTTCACTGAACATATTAACTTTTTATTTGATTTAACTTTAGAAGAAAACTTCGTCGACTCCATCATCAAAAAAATTTTTACTTTTTTAACGTGTTTTATTATTTTAAT